AAGAAAGGACATTTTGTGCTAACGTGTGACCATACAGGGCTCTAAACAAGCATCATCTTCCCTGTCTAGGAATACAACTTCTAGCAACCATTTGCCTCCCCTATCATCTCACAGGAACCTAATTTAATGATATCAAGAGATGAAGAACCAAGCGCACGTGTGATGCTGAAAAAAGAAACACTTTTTGGTACTCCCAGACACAAAACTGCTGTCTCCACTATGCCGGATATGGCATCCGTTCATTAGCAAGGGATGGGGGATGTTGCAGCTATTCCACTGCCTGGTGATGCACTCTCTCTCGTGGCTGCAGAGACCGATGGCAGACTCAAAGCTAGACCCATGTTGGGTCCTGCCAGAGTGGTCACAGGTGTACGTGGGTTGGGGGCTACTGTACTGACCGGCTGTTTCCTTTGGTCCCTTTCTGTTGCAATTCGAGGGGCCATTTCTCGTTGTGATGTTGGACTCCACGATTGAGAAGGGAGCACCGCTTTGTCCTGTCTCCTGCTAAGGCTTCCCAAAGGTTTGGGTCCATTGCAAAAGCCTTCATGTCTTGCTTGTCAATGTCTTTGAAGTGCAGTTTCAGACAACCTACTCGTCTCTCCCAACCTGCAATTTTCCCCCAAAAAGATGTCCTTCAGGATGTACCCCTCTTCCGTCCTGTGGAGATGGCCAAGCCAGCGTAGGCGCCACTATTTGAGTACTGCGGTGATGGTCGGCAGGTTGGCTTTGGCGATGACCTCTGTATTGGCCATTCTGCCTTGCCACTTGATGTCAAGGATGCGCTGTAAGGAGCAGAGGTGAAAGCTGTTCAGCTTCTTTTCTTGACAAGCTTATGTTGACTCCATCTAAAGACTCTACGTAAGGACACTGAGGATGCAGGCTTTGTATGCAAGCAGCTTAGCTTTGATTGTGTGTTTTGCATTGCTCCAGACCCATTTGGAGAGCTTACTGAAAGCAGTAGCAGCCTCTCGAGTGCGCACAATGGAAAGGCCCCACCATCCCACAAGCTGAATAAATAGCTGAGCTGAACTCTTCCCTTTCGACCCAGGAGGCCACGCCTGCATCCAGTACCTCACCCCCAATTATCAGCCACCAGCGCCACGGGACTCCTCTGTGACAGTGCCACTCCCAAAATCCAAGAGATGGAAGCCAGTCAAGCTTGGTTGAAAGGGTCCGGGCCATAGTCATGCATGCACTACAATATAAGTGTAAATGAAAAGAAAACTTGAGTTCACGCGGCATGAAGGCTGGAAATGTGCAATAAAAGGAGAAACCTAAATCCCAAGTTTCTTCATATCCAGTCCTCACTAGTTCCAGTTCCTAACAGTTCAACACTGGCAAAACTGAAGACAGCCTTCACCCAAACCCAGCCCCAGACAGACTCCAGGGAAGAGCCCAGCAAAGAAACCATAAAGGCCAGACAATGGGAAATATATGCATTAAAGAGTCAGAGATGTGGTATGCAGATAGTGCCATGAAACAAGTGCATTTTTCTGAGTGGGGGCACAGGGCCGAGCTGGATGACAAACTGGCTCTTCCATCCCTCGCTGACATCTTACCTCGGGAGGAGCAGTCAGGCTGCCCCCAATGAAAGGCAGCATCTGTCTCTTCTTAAGCAAGCAGCTGAGACGAGCCAAGTTGTCCAGAGACCGGCCAGGCTGGGCAATGTCGCTGGCAGAGCACGGACCCCCGGAAAGCACCGGCCCAGGGAACATGCTGCAAAACAGGACAGACGAAGCCGGTTACACGTCTCAAAACCAAAGGTGCTGGGGAAAGTTCCCCCATACAAAGCTGCTCTGCTTCCTTTGTTTTGTAATATCATTGCAGAAAATGAACCTCCACAAGGACATTCATCAGCCCTTGAGCTGGTCATTTCCAAGCACGCAGGCCACGGGGAAGGCTCGCAAATTCAACTGACAGAGCACCTTTGCTCTGCATCTGTTGTACAGATTTACAGATACGAAACAACAGCAAGAGACTCAAGTCTGGACACGCTCAGTTGCACTGGCTTGAACGCTTGCCCAGGAAGGATTTCCCTAGGGGCCTGCTTTTAATTTTACAAATGTATCCTCCAGCCTTTAGCACCGTCAAGGTAAAGTGTGGCCATTAAGAAAGACTCAGCTTTTCCAGAGGAGTTTATAGATCAAGGAAGCAAGCTGAAGAGTACAAATGTGGTGCAGACCTTGGAACAATTCCTTAGCCACGGGGCTGATCTCGTCATATGGCTGCATGTGGCAGAGCGCGCGTTTGGCAGGAATAATCCATGGGAAGCGCTAGCTCCGATGTTTCTTTTAACCCTGCAGCACCGATAACGAGTTGTCAGGTCTTGAGCTCGCAGCCTGCCGCCTACCAGAGAGTGCAGCAATCCAAGCCAGACGCTCCCATCCATCCGTTACACAGCAAGGAGCAAGGAAAACCAGCCAGCACTAGCAAAACGGGATCAACATTTACAGAAAAAGCAGTGGAGCCAATGCTACTTGGCTTCCCACAGCTTCCAAACCGCCAGTAGCCACACTATGTGGGCACGTTCGGGGCCTCACCGGGCAGCAGAAGGGCAAGGAGCAGCTGGCACAGGCCCCCTGAAACTCATATACAAGCCAACACAAAACCCTACGGAGACGTCTTGAAGCATTACAGTGGCTTCCACCTCTCCGAGCTAACAGGTGCTAGCATGCAGACAGACATCAAGGGACTGGCGGCAGCAAAGCCACTGAGCTTGTGGTACCAGCCACGCAGGGGGAAACCCAATCCAGGGGATGGAGGGACTGTTAAACCCACACCTTGTGGTCCTGCACCAGGTCCTTGGCTTCCTGCAGAAGCCCAGGCTCTTGTCACCATAAGGCCCAGAAAGATGCTGAACTCTTCCATAAGATTGCAGCCGCAGCCCCAGTTTCATAAGAGACGCACGTGCCTTCCAGCTCTAAACGTGCTCCTCTCATGTGCAGGCGTCCATTTGGAGCATCCTTCCCTAACACTGCTCTGTGCAAGTGGTCTCTCTCAGTCCCACCTCGCCCAGCAGCTTTGCTGGAGCTCCCATTGCCAATTCCTGCCTAGTCTCACGCATCACCCAGCCCCTTCCAGCACTGCTTTGGGCCGTGTGCCTGAAGGTGAGGCTGTCCCCGAGAGCGCGTGGGGAGCACGTGTCCTCTGCCGTGGAGCTGGTGCACGTTTTGCACATTGCACTGGCCGTACACAGCAAGGGGTCTGGGGCGTTGCTGACGTCTCCACGGTGAGCATGATAACCCAGCACGTGGGTGTGGAAAAGGCACCATCGTGCTGGCCAGCATAGAAGATATTGTGGGAATAAAGTAAAACCATAAAGCAGTTGCCAACAGCAGATTAAACCACAACAAGCTCAACCTAAGCTTCTCATCAGCACAATCAACTCTCTGTCAAGGATGCCTGACTAGTTTTATAGATGTTGCTGCTGCCCAGCATAGGGTCAACCAGGCTGGTTTCATTACTCAAGATCCTCCTGGTTCACCTGGGGCCCAGGGAATCAGAGTATTTTCCAGGTCAGATTATTTATGGATTTGCACAGCCCAGGTCTACCCAGCTCTGGTGGGACCGGGCTGCCAGTTCGGGATGTTTTTGTTTCTTTTTTTCAATCCAGCACAAGAAATGATGCTCATGTGCTTATCCGTGAACTGTTCAGATATATCAACAGAGATGCAGGGTGACTTTTAGCCCCTGGAAAGGTGGCCGGTTGCTTGCAGTCAATGGGCTATTGCACATGCGCATAACCCTGTATTTTGTCTCGGGGGTGCCGGCTTTCCCTTAGCTCTCTGTCACCCTCTAAAGACATACGATATGTGCAATGATGTGACCTGGACAGAGCGTGCACTTTGTAAAGATAAAAGGCCCCACCGGGATTTTTTTTCCCCTTTGAAAGCACACAAGAAAATTGTATTCTTTTTTAATGTTTTCCTTAAAGTATTCCAAAATGGAAAAAAAAAAAAACAACAACTGGAGGTTCCAGTTAAACCCCCCACCCTTTTCTTTATTTTACTTTATCACATCCCATGCAGCTGCACAAGATGTTCGTACAAAGCTCAGAGCAGCAGACACGCTGCAGTCCATGGGGCCAGCCAGCACTGGAAAAGCCAGAGGGAGCAATAATTCCTCTCTTCCTTTTGAATGGATGTGATTTAATGTTTTATTTCTTTTACTCGCTGCATGCTAAAGAAAACATGAGGATTGCTCCGGGGCTAAGGATGTTTTTATCTTTACACAACCATTTGGTCTCAGCGGTGGCAGATGACAGGACAAGGAGCAATGGGCTCAACTTGCAGCCAGGAAAGTGGAGATTGGATATTAGGAAAAACTCTCACCAGGAAGGTGGTGAAGCACTGAAAGGGGTTACCCAGAGAGGTGGTGGCGTCTCCATCCTTGGAGGTGTTGAAGACCCGGGGAGACAAGCCCTGGCTGGGATGATGTAGTTGGGGCTGGTCCTGCTTGGAGCAGGGGGCTGGACTAGATGTGACCTCCTGAGCTCCCTTCCACCCCTCATTTTCTACGATTTTCACACAAATCCTTTAAATCCAGCTGCCATTGCCTGAACGTTTCATCATTGTGTTCACAGTTAATTTACTGCACAGTAAGAACAATTAGGAAACACTGAAGATCTTGCTCAGGTGAAGTCTTCGTTCAGGAGGTTTTGGCTGAGGAAGGATGGCGGCACTCGGGGTGGGGTGGACTGAAATTTGTTTTGCTTTATCGAGATCTTGCTGTCAGGGATGTACTCAGGGCTACAGCAGTCTCGCCTACCCCGAGAGGCCGTGAATGAGCCCGAATAACCAAGGGGGAAAGGACTGCTCGGCAGGCTACTTACTATACATGGATTAGCACCCAGGTACTAAATCCATTTGAGACCCGACATCCCCAGACTTTCAATTAAAGGATTTCTAGAGTTCCCCACAAAGTAATCAAATAAGGCTTAACACTCATACTATTTACAAGGAAAAAGAAAATGAGAAACAAAGCTTTCATATTTTTTTTTTATAGAGCTATATATAAATGAACATCATAACAAGCCAGAAAAGGGCACAAACGCATTTTCCCCTCCTTCACGGATTACCTTGAAGACTAGGCTTATTTACTTGATTGATATGCTGCCCTCCCCCAAAAAGACCAGAGCAGCTTACAATAAAAATGAGATAAATTATTTAACAAACAAAAACAACAAACAGTCGAACGCAGCCGTAGAAAGCAGGTTATAGGGAGCCACGGGTCAGAAAAGCAAGCAGGATTTTTCTCATTTCTAACAGCTACGATTCCCTGAGGACCAACAGATGGAATTACCCATGCCCACCTGAGCTCCTCCGAAACCTTATAACCCCGATCTGCGTGTGCTGGTTTATCCAGCGGGGAACTGAACTCTGCAGCAAGGGGGAAAGAGCACAGCTTGAGTGCTGGAAGGAGGAAGGTTTATTAAAAGAGCAAACAAAAGCAACAGCAAAATAACCACAGAGTCCTCCATCTCCCCCTAAACCATATAACCCAAGACAGAGCTGATCTGAAAAATAGCAACTCGGACAGTGTTCACTTAATAATTATTAAGGAGCCCATTCAGATTTCCTGTATTTCTTCATCGGAAATGCAAAAGGATGTGTTGTTTTTTTCCCCCCATGTTAGCATAAAAATCTTACAGTGGAGGGAAAAGGGAAACAGGACTTAAATCTCTTGGTGCATGGTGGTCTGTCTTCCCTCCTGCTCCGTGTCAGGGGCACAACAGCAAGCACCGCATCTCGGACATTATCCCTTCTTGCCACGGTTACAGCACACAATGCAGCGCTAGAACAACAAATGGAAAATGCTCGAGTCACTCCCTGACCTGAAGGAGGGACTCCTTCTCTTGGTCAGGCGCTTTCCCAGCAGGGCAGAGAAGTGGTCTACAGCACAGCGACGTGAGGGGGTACATTTAAAGTGCAAATCCCCATAGGGTCAGATGCAGCTATGGAAACAAAACCCAGTTTTTCTGGAAGACATTTAGGCAGGAGAATAAGATTTCCATTTAAAAAGCAAGGCCCTGGAATCCCAGAGCATTTTATCAAGCTGAACTTGTTGTCACAATGGCAACAAGTACATTGCATTGACTTTTTGCAGTAAATGCAATAATCACCAGGGGCTTGTCTGCACGGACAAAGAGGGTTCCCCCCCCCAATGTTTGCCTAAGCTTTGGACAATTGAAGAGGTCTTTTAACACCCCTGTACAGGCAGGCAAGCTCCTCGGAAGTGATGCTAGTTGGCATGCCAAAGCCTGGCCAAGAGCAAACAAGACAACACACCCAGTGAACAAGACCTCTCCATGGGTCAACCCTGCAAGCGAGAGGTGTGAGGGCAGCACCAGACATCCTGAGCTGGCTTTCATCTCACCTGGGTGAATCACAAGGTGGGACGGGCTTCAGCGCAGCCTAGCCGCTGGGCTCTCCCAGGGTGGAGAGAACCGTTTGCTTTGAACCAAACCCTTGGGAAACCAGCATTTGCCAGAGACAGGTCCCCAAATTTGCAGGTGCCAGTGCAAGTGTTAGCCTTCTCCCACAGTCTCTCTCTCGCATGGAGAAACACAGTGGGGTCGGGGCCTCATTTCTAAAACAGGGACTGCTACAAGAGGCACAGCACGTGTCTGCAGACAACTGCAGCCCCAGCCTCAGCTGCAAGAGTGCTAGGGGCCAGCTAAGATTTGGGGTTAAGAGCTGGTTTCTGCAATGCCCAAGGCAAGTCCTCAAGCATATGCTTTAGTAGGCTTCAGACTGCAAAGCACTGCGGAGAGATACCACAAGGCAGCAATACGGTGCTGGAGGAAGAAGTGAACGCCCATGTCAGAAGCTTACCTTAGCAAAACGGCACTTGGCAGCTTTGGGTTTCAATCCTGGCCATTTATGGAGTGGGAACTTCCCTTTTTGGAGATTAACTGAAACAAAACACATGGCTCAGCACACGTGGACTGCAGGGGGCTAGACACAGGACTCCCCACGCATGGCGAGTTCCTCAATTCGGACTTGAGCGCACAAAGCAGGATGCTGAACAGGGGGAAGTGCTATCGTGGGTCAGGAAAGAGCGGGGGCAGAGCTTGCTGCCAGGGCCTGGAGCGGGCATGTATACAAAGCAAGCAGGCAGGCCAGGGTGGAGAGAAGGGGCAGGGGGAGACATGCATGTGCTCTGCACCAAGAGGCAGAAGTACCACGACTAGCAGAAGCCACTGAGCAGAGCAACACTTAATAGGATATCGAAGTGATTTTCCTGTGCCACTTCGGTGCTCTGCACTCACTCTTGGAAAACAAAATTCCCCAAATAAAGGGCAAGTGAGAAGTTAAATGCCACTCTCTCAAATTCTCTCTTGCAATCAGTCACCTAAGATGGCGTTCCTGAACGACCCCACAAACAATTTGTGACCATTCACACTCTGAGCTGTGCAACTCGGTTCATGACTAACGAGAAATTGCTGAAGAAAGCGTCTCCCCAGACTTACAGTTGATGTTCTTCATTATAATTTTCAAGACAAAAGCTTTCAGGGTTGGGTAAAGGCGTTCGACCTGCAAAACAGAGATGACTTTGTCAGGAACTGCACCCAAGAACATCCCCCACGTTATCTAGCAGTAACTGGATTTCAATAATGCTACGTGAAGGGGGCTGAAAAGCTTGAGTGCTACAGATGTCTGCTGAATAGCAAAACACCTGTGAGTTGAGCAATGGGTAATTAGAACAAGCCTGCAGTGGCTTGCTCCCCACTGACCTGAACAGAAATCTTCAAGAAAATAACAATAGTCTTATCCAAAGAGCCCATTTACTCATAAGTATTGGCCCCCAGGGGCCCCGAGCAGCGGAGGGAGGAGCATTGGGCAACCTGACTCTTCCACTCCCACCAAGTCAGCAGCTGCAATAGCACATGGCAGCAATCATGTCCATCACCCAAGGCATCACGAAGACCTGGAACAAGTCTGGAACCAGGGCAGACCCCTACAGCACTGCCCTTGATGCCTCATCCTGCCTTGAAAGGGAGTCGTCCAACAATTGCTTTTTGAGCGCAGTTATCCAGCCAGCCATGCACTCACCGCACAGTCCTTCATCTAGACCACGACTTCTTGCAAACATTTTGCCTCTGCCTCCTAGGATAACACCCAGAGTAATAACACTAGGAACTTACATTAACCCGTCCAACAACCGAGGAAATCCATCTGATGTGCAATCTGCAGAGAAAAAAAAAAGACAGCGAGATGAGTCCATCTCAGACAGAAATGTCATTTCCTCAGAGTTTTTGGGTCCCATCCTCTTTTAAAACCTCAAGTCCAGATAAGGAACCCTCATTTCCATCTATATTGCCTGTCACATTAGATGCAAATTGTCCTTTATAATGTTAACCCCCCTTTAGAGAAAAACGCTTCCATGTCCTGATACCTGTCCAGGGTTGTAATAAACAGTACATGCCCGTTGGTAACTTGAAGTATAGCTGTCATATCAAGTCTCTGCAATGAAGACATGAGAGAGAGTCACCAAAAGGTGGATTTGAGCCTGCCTCAGCTCTAAAAACCACCGGCTTCAGCTCCAAAATACAACAGAGACGTTCCTCCCTGCTGTAGGCCAAGCCCCTCACCGAAGGGAGAGTGGCAATGACCACCCGGCAAGCTCTGTGATTTTATGCAAATGCCCACAACCAGAAGCAAGAGCTTCCCTTTGCCACGTTGCTCATGCCTTCATCAAGAGTTAGACAAAGGAGAAACATGAGCCAGGATCTGTCCCACATCTTGGTGCTTTCTTCACATGCGTGGGAAGGAAAGACCATTCAAAACCCTCGTTGCTGGACATGAACGTGCAGGAAGACCGCACAAATGCAGCCTCAGCCCCCAGTCTGCTTGCACCTGCAGAGGCTCACGGCCCGCGGGGGCTGCGCACAGGAACGGATTATTTTTAAATACTCAGCAGAAATTAAGGCAGCCTCTGTAGGAAGAGGCGAGTCAGGAAAGCACCGAGTGCCAGCTCCGTCACCCACACACCCCCTGCATAAAGCACTCTGGATGAGGGAGGTCTCATTTCCTGCTGGAATCCCAGCCCCCTCCTTATCCAAATCCCACAGACACCCCTGGTTCAGCGCTCAGGTGGATGGACTTTTTGCCACTGCTGTAGGTGAGATTTGATGCTCTCAAGCGATTCAAGGGGATCGTCCAGTGCCCACGGAGCTGCTCTCCGGCTACACAGTCTGGGCTGGGCTGGGCTGAGTATTTCCAGTGCAGAGGTTTTTAATGCTTGCATTTGTTTCACAGCATCATCCAGGAGGCTGCCCTGCAGCTGGAAACTCATCTCACAGGAGAGATGCCTATTCTGAACAAATACACTTTGTGGGACACCCAAACCCACCCACCAGCCTGTGGATGCAGAGAGCAGCTGGTTGCTAGCCATGACCCCCAACCCCCTCCTTTTCTTTTCTTTACCCCTTGAAACTAAATAAGAGCTTCCTCTCTTCTCACTTACTACTTCCAGCTTCAGGAGACTCAAGCTGCCATTCCCATGCTTAGTGACAATCTCCAGAGTGAGAGAGATGTTCATGTTGCACACACCCACGTCCAAGTACACCTCCAGAGGCCTAAGCACCTTGATGTTGATGACGAGTGAGGAAAAGATCACGGGACAGATCGAGCACTGGAAGAAACCGGGCGTCAAGGTTGAGGCTTCAGCTGGTGCGCACATCCCAAGGGAGGGAACATGAGGAAGCAATGGGCATGTGAGGATGGGGGTCCAAATGATAAACTGTGGGCCCCTGGAGTCAGCAGTGGTGCTTGCTGCGTATGCCTTCTGGAGGCCCAGCAGCACACACCAATGCTGGCAGTCTTGCACAGGACAATGCAGTCTTTGCAAGCCCACCCTTCCCAGACAGATGTTCAGCATCTGTCTCTGCTCCCCACTCCCCTTCACCTGTCTGCAGACCTTTCTGGCTCTCTCTGTTCCTTTGGGCAGCCTGCTGCTTTCTATCTCAGCATGTCCAGGCTGCAACAGCACTGCATCCTTCCCCTTTCTGCAAGGCCTGCTCTTGGACTCAGAGCAAAGCCAAGCATGAGTCCAAGCAGCAGGGATTACGTGTAATGAATGACCGCAGTGGGACCAGCATGGGCAGTGCAGGGCTGCGAGGGGTCAGCCAGGGCACCGATGCTTCTGGCATCAAGGTCTGTTTGGCTTTGGGATAAAAGGAATCCGAGGTCTGGCGAGGCAGGGAAAAGCCCCCGTGAGACTCAGACCGACTCACCCTGGAAACGATCAGATCCGTAATAATGTTCTCGAGCGCGGTCGTTTCATAAAACTGTTTGAAAGAAACACAACGGTCAGGTGGAAGCGCCTGGCTCTGCTGTGGAGCAAGGCCACTGATGCCACAGCTTCGCGGTCCTTTTTCTGCATTTTGTGGGGTGACCTCCTTGCCCACATAAAGCCAGAGGGGACATTTGCAGGCAACAAATAACTCAGCCCACAGCCAGTCCTGGGTTTCAGCCTTTTTTCTCCACCGAATCACCCATCTACAGGGGATTTCCTGCCCCCTGCAAGGCCCCCGCTGTCCCCGGGATCCTTCCCCACAGCCGCTCAGCAGAGCACCACGTCCCCCAGCACAGCGAGATGCCTGCATCCTAGGCCTCACAAAATGGGGATAATCTTTCATGAACCGCAGCTCCCGTCCCGGCCGACCAGACCTTGCAGGAACCATGGCAGCTTGGGGCAAAGCATTTCCTTATCCAAAACAACAGGGTGCAAGTGAGTCTTGGGGACAGCTGCCTGGGTCCCTTGTTTCCAGAAAAGCAGCCTAACCTGACTGCCCATCTCCAGGCCTGCAGTGTTACTCATCTCATTCCCAGATATTTTCTTTTTCTTTCAACTTTAACCCCACCCTTCAGGTGCAGCCGAGGTTTGCCCAGCATCTACATCCGATGTCTTTCAGGCAAACAGAAAAAGCAGCTCTCAGTCGAGATACGGGGCTGCATACAGTGACTCCCAGCTCCGTGAAAGACAGACTCACCCTGGATCAGGCGGCGGGTCCAGAAAGCCGGAGATTTTATGCAAATACCTTAAAGTGCATGTTTATGCATATGCACTTGCTAATTTGCATGATTCATTTCTCTTGTCTAAAACCTGCACTTAACCCTGCCTTGTCCTCCATTAAATTCTCTGCTTAATTTGCCTGTTCATGCCTCCTCTCCCTGTCCTCCAGAGTCTTCCCTTGTAACCTGTATCCCACGTCTCTCATTCTTCCTCTCCCCCCACGGCCCCCCATCAGACACACATGCATTCCCATAGAGAGCCTGCCTTTAGGAGGTCTGCAACACAGCTCTACCCCTTCATCATACAGTCCACCACCCCTGCCATGTCTCTACAGCCAGAGGTGCATTAGATGTTGTGCTCTAATAACGCGCCTCCTCCTGCTCTCCCTGCAAAACTGGGACTTGCAACCAGGTGCCTCCTGGATTGATCCAAGACACAGAGAAGCTCAAGGATGGAGGAAACATCCCACAGGTAAGCTAGAGAGAAAGCACCCATGTTTCTGTAACAGCGAGCATGTCACTCACCGTCGCAGGAGTGCAAGGGATGGACAGAGGTTTTGGTAAGACAATTCTGGAGTAGATAAAAGTGAGTACAGTCTGCCCAATGGCCTCAGAAGTCTCGTGATATTCTGGCAACTTGATATCGCCATCTGGCTCCGGCGGGATGAGGATTTTCTCTCCACTGTCAGTCTCATACTCAGTCTGAAAACAGAATATAGGTTTCACCCCTTCGCTATGAGGTTATTGAATAGGCAAAGGCACAAAATAAGGGAAAGAAAAATATAGTCTCCTTAACAGGGGGTCACACATCCCTCTGGAGTCTCGTTTCATTCCCCTTTGTTTCTGATAAAACAGTTTCCAGCTACAACTGGAAGAACTGGTCAATGCCAACCTTGCAGGGAGAGTCGCTCTCAGGGGTGTGGGAAGCTGCGTGGGAGCAGGTATAGGCTGCCCAGGAGCAGGGCCTGAATGCACAGTTTCCAGATCTAAAAGGGAGAGAGGCTGCACCCCATAAACTAAGAGACTACGGTCATCCTTGTACAACCCTGTGTGATCCAGCCAGGACAGCAGGACAGAGAGGACAGACTGCAAGAACAGAGCTAGCCAGGGAATGTGTAGTCCCATAGGGCTGGTTAAACCACGCGCCACATGGATCTGCAGACCTCAAAGCCAGATGGGCTATGATGATCTGGTGCAATCTCCCACATAACCAAGGCCAAAAGCATCTCCATCCTGCGTCTCCAGCAGCGAGCCCTTGCCAACAGCTCTGCTGACAAACACCGGTGGTTAGCACGTGTCAAGAAGGACAAGCCTGTTCTCTTTGCCATTGAACAGATCTTTTTACCCCACATTTTTATCCTGCCTTCAAATTCTCCTGAGATGTTATTTTCTCCTAGAGGGACCTGGGTCTCTGGTATTTGCTGATGTAGATTTCTTGACATTAGGGCTGGAAGGGACCTCGGGAGATCACTGGGTCCAGCCCCCGCCCAAGGGGCAGGAAGTCAGCTGGGGCCAGATGATCCCAATAAGATATGCATCCAAATGCTTCTTGAATGCGTCCAGAGTAGGTGCTTGCACCGCTTCTGGGGGGGAGTCTGTTCCAGTCTGCAAACCCTACACAGGCATTCAATGCAGATGAGAAAGTCCTCGTGAGATCAGGGCCTTAGTGAGTCAGTGCAATGAGACGGGAACAACTGGCTGCAGAACGGTGCCCTTTGTGCCGCTGCACAGACACCGACAGCCGAGGAGTCAGAACTATTTCTGCAAATGATTTCTCTGAACAAGGTTGGGGAAGCTCTAAAACCACGCCAGACCGACCCTGTTTATGGCCATGAAATCCTAGCCACCAAAACATTACTCCCTTACCAGGACAGGGACTTCAATAGTGCAGTTGTGGACCTTCGGAGTTTGAATCACATACCGGATTTTCCCGCTTTCAATTGGAAGTGCAGCTGCATAGAAACACAAAGAGACCCGAAAGTAGACATAGCAGCAGCTGAAGAGGCACATGACTGAGCTGGCATTTTATCACCTCACAGTTAGACCATGAAATCTTTTTAGTCAGGCATCAAAAATAGTCTGCCCCGAGATATTTATATTCTGGGGAGGTGGAAACTAATCAGAGTCAGGATTAAACATTTAAGATAGGAAGCAGCGGTCAGTCAGTGAGCCTCCTTCTTCAAGTCTCTATCCAGAATTATATATTGCTAGACAATATATTGCTTGACACAGATCCCCTCCCTCAGAGGAGAGCTCATGAGTCTCTTCACAACCAGAGTTCAGATAATACTTTGTGCAGTAAGCTGCAAACACAGATAAAGGGACATTTTGCCTTGCAAAGGGCAAATTTGACTAAGTTAGACAAAACCCAAAATAAGACAAACTGAGGCACTGGACAATGGCTGAGGCATGGGACCATGTGGGTATAATTTGGTATGAAAAAACAACTAGCAAGGACTTGCGTTCCCTGCAGCCACATGCTTCAGTTTTGCTGTCATCCAGTGAAAGCTCTATAGCAGTTTCAGATGCGTTTAAATTATATTCAGATACGTTTAAGATTTTACAGAATTAAAGTGAAAAAGCACAGTCAGCAAAGCAGGTCCCACGTCACTGCGTTTGTTATTAAATTTGGTTTTTCCATGCTTCCATTTTTCATTATACATTGAAGATTGTCATCTTGAGGCTTCAGAGTCAACAACCCCCCTAAAACGAAGGGGGAGGTCAGACCCCTCAAAGAGAGTTTCTGGCTCCCTTCAGATTTAGGCAAACATTTTATGTTAGTTATATTTGGGTCATATCTGAGGGGTTATCTTCAAAGCCCCAAAGGCTACCATTTTTTAACTGGAAGCTAAGAGCTGGCTGAAAAGGGAATCGCTCCCTGGCTAGGTCATAGGAAAGGGAAGGAAAATGTTTTTTAAAGGATCGTTTGCAACACTCACTTGTCAGATCATCCAGCATCGTTTCGTGTCCGAGAGACAGAGATCTGAAGAATATTTTGGATATCTGAAACACAAGAAATACCGTAATTTCCTGCTCACCGGCTGTAACAATGATGGGCGAATAGCGGAGACTTTTACTACTGGGAGTGGCAAACCTCCAAGATTTGTGCAGAGGTCAGGGAAATCTCAGGGCCAGAAGATATTTTTGAGGGAGGTTGGACGTGTGAGCATTGCATAGCAGTGCTTCACGTCACCACTGTTGCTCACTGATCTCTACACATGAAAGTACCACTGTGCTCACAGTGTATGAAGGGAAAGCTTCAGGGAGCTTAAAGCTTCAGCGTTAGCAAAGACTGGTTCAAAGGTCTCCTTGCCCTTTGGGCAGGAAGAGGAAGAACAGACTAGATCCTGCCCCTAATGACCTTTGGGCTCACAGGGGCCAGAGGAGGCAGGAGACAAGGAGACGCACCTTGGTCTGTATCTCGAACGTGACACTGTTCTGTAGCGAGGCTATCACGCCTGCATTGACGTCGCTGCAAGCAAACCAAACAGCATCAACTACTAAAGAGCAAACGGCATCATATGAGCAACAAGCATCTCAGCCTGGCATGGTCCGAGACAGGGTCCTGACTCCTGGGCCACCCATGCCAGGGGCCGCTCGGGGCTTTGGGGAATATGTGGATGCAAACGGGAGGTAGATGGATCTCTTCCATTGCGGTCCCTTGACCAGTGGAGTCTGAGATTTAGAGTAGTTCATACAGACGATGCTCTGCAGCCTGCAACCCTGGGCCTCAAGAATCAATACCAGAAGCAGCAGGTATCAGCTCTAGGGCTGTGTGGTATGCGGTGCTGCCAGTGCGGCCCCACGAAGGGTGCCCCTGCCCGCACTTCCAAACTGGGTGCATCTGCACAATATTGAACAAATTAGCTCTGCTTCTCAGTGGGGCTAATTAGCCTGCCCACCGTGCCATGCAAACCCAGTGACATTGCTGCTAGGGGCCGGGAGGCACCAGGCATCCAAGCACAGAGCTGCTTATAGACACACTCCTATGGGGGCCTACGCCAAGCCTTTGGGGACCTCACACATGGTGCAAAAAACTTAGGGTACAACGCTGATTGCATTGATTCGGGTAGTGCGTAGGTGCTAACTGAGAATGAGCCCATCGAGCTAGGTTCTGCACTAGTAGAAACAGCAGTGACCGAGTTAAATCTGTAACTGTACAGTTTATAGGGTCATGGGGGGGTTCGTCTCCCCGGCACTCGAAGAAGTAATTATAACAATAACAATAATAGCAATAATAATAAAACAAGACAAAGGTGTGGAGCAGAAATAGGAACATGCAAAGAAGAGCAGAAGGATAAACAGTGGTAAATAAATAAGGAGATGTGCTGACAGACCAGCAGCACAGGGCGCTGGTGCTGGTTAACCTGCAATAAGCAGAAGTCGCCCACACTCACGGTAAGCTGCTTGTGACATTAAGGAAGGCCACGGCACACTTGGAGCTGTTGATGGGGAAGGTGTTGCTCAGGGGCGAGAACTGGGTCAGCAGGACCAGAGCAATGCAGCGTACTTTCAGGCTGATCGTGACCATGCCTGGGAGGATGTTGCTGGTACTGCAGGGGCAAATTCACAGAGGATGCTCATTAGCCCACAGCACAACCTCCCCAGCAATGCTGCCCTTACAGAGGTGGAGGCTAAGCTGGGTGCACGTGCAGGTTACAACCAACTTCCTTCCATCCCAGCCAGAGTCACTGCCTTCCCCTCACTGGCTTCGTCCTCAAGGGACCCTCACACTTAACAACCAAGACCCAGCTCCTCGGGCCCTAACCCCACTGCATGATAACCTCCCGAGGGGCAGTCCCATGGATTTCCATGGGCAGGATCCAGCCCCACAGAGACCAGCGAGAGGCCTGTGTCGTACGTGCCTAGATTTGCTGTACAGCGAGGATGCGCTGTAAATAATGCTGATGCCCTTCAGGAAAGTCAACAGCCAGATGTCTCCTGTATGAGATAGGGGACGTTACAGAGCGTAGCCTGCTGCATTGCTCTTACGTTTCCCCTCTCGAATCCTGGCTCGCATCCAAGTGGATAGCAAGTCACAGGTGAGCAACGTGACAGAAACGGCATGGACCACTTAGCCTATCCACTGCTCAGATGGCATTGCTGGGATGTCCTCTGCAGCGTATTCACCAGCTTACACACATCACATTTTAAACCACTGATACAACGCAGCCTCCCCTCCAACTCTTGAGCACGTGTCCTAACGTCCTATAAATCTGGTCGAACCAACCCAGAGGTAGCAAGAGAAAGGCAGCCATCTGAAAGGGCCGTGGAGCAGCAAACTGGAAGGAGCGAGGCCCATGAGAGAGGTGGAAAAGGAGGGCTCTGCCCTGCAGACCTCCCGCCTGTCACTTGGACTCACCACTAAGGAACTGCAAAATGCAAGAACCTGACACCTGTCCCCAGGTAAAAAAAGAAAGGGAGGGCCCCATAAAAATCTGGAGTTTTGGTTGTGAGAGGAAAAAAATAGGAGAAGGAAGATGAGACCAAAGCCTGTTTCATAAATAATCTGACGGCTGGAAAGCCGAGAAACCCCGTGTGACCTCTGGCATCCTTAGGACTATACAAGTCCATAGAAACATGCGTTTGGTCCCTGTTTGAATAAAAAAGCATTGTAAGCACTATGCCTACAGTGAATCTAACTTGGTCCAAAATCACCACGCAGAGGACCTAGCTATTATAGCAAAACAGGATACATGGAAATACAAAATCTGCAAGCATGAACTATTCAATTCCAACAACTTCTGAGGTGCCCAAAGTTCATTCTGGACCCTGCTTGGAAAAAGCTGTTGGATGCAATCAAGTGCACCGACCAAAGGTGCTCAGCTGGCTTTTGTGCAGGGAAAGGCAGAAAGTTACCAGGTGACCACAGTAGATGCAAGCTGGCAGCCTGCTCCAAACACTGCTAGCCCAGCAGCATCTGTAAGCAGAGCGAGTCTAGAAATAACATGCCCAGTCAGACATTTCACTAGTCCATAAGCATCTCAGGGGCAGGTAAGGGGAGACTGGGCAAAAGCCATTACAGGGTCTCCAGGGGAATTTCTTTGCTCAGTATCTGACATTCGTAGAGTTTCAGTGAGCTACGAAGCTTAAACCTCAGTGAGGTTTCCAAATGGAAAAGGGCTTTACTTTTTGCAAATGTTTCCAGAAAAAAATCCCCTGTGTACCCTGCCTCCACCTTCCCCCCCACCCCACTCCCCTCCAAGCCTGTTACACTGGAGACAGGGACCAAAAGGCCACAGAGTCAGCAGCCACACTCACCAAGTGCCTAGGATGTGGAGTTTAGCAGTAAATATCACCTTGACCCCAACTCCAGGAACGCACAATATCTTGACCGGGTAGATGATAATTGTAGCCACGTGCAAGCTGCAAATTGAGATCAGAAAAATGGGAAGAAAGAAACACAGCCAGGCAAAGAGGCAGAGACTCCCACAGGATCCACAACCCCCTTCCATAAACATTAATGGCTGTGGCACAATATATTACATTTGGCAGCCTGATGCTCTAGGGACTCGTCTGCAGGCTGCCCTGCAGCCAGCTCCCTGACTAAAAGCGATGTGCAAAGCAACTGGTCTCCTAGGGGCACTGACCTGAGATTACATCAATTCATGAGAGATGAATGGGTTTGCATTTGCTGCTTCTCTGCCAAAATGATCCCTTCAGGCATGGCCGCTTCTCCCAGCGCTGCAGTGCTGGTAGCCCAGCTACCTTAATCTTGGCCGCGGTACTCTGAGCCCTCCCCTAGCCTCAATAGGACGGACCCCACCCTGTCCCTACTGGAATCCCAGGCTTGCCCATCACAAGAATTACTGGTGGAGTGAACAACACCCCAACCCCAGCTACTTCGCATGGCCAAACCCTGCGTCTTTGCTTTGTGACCCCCTCCCCATGCCCAGAAAACCTCGATTTTGCTGCCAATGCAGCTAGCAGACGCTCCCAGAATTAGCTTGCGATTAAGACACACGACACTGAACAGGGACCGCCTCCGTGTTGTGATCGGACCATCCCCAGCCCCGCGGGGGCCAGGTCTGCAGAAGGGGCCTCTGAGCAGTAGTGCGATACAGACCACGTTACTCGGGTAGAAGCCGTTACTCTACGATTTGTTGCTCACTCTTTGATAAAGACCGAGGTAAATTTTAATCCAGGGAATGTGATATTCCTTGATTCAGACTTGAAAAGGCCGCTCATTAATTCTTCGCAAGCTGTAACGAAAAACACTGCTGTGAGACTCGGTGCTCTGGACCCCGATCTCCTGTCATAGATAGAAGAACGGCATCGTGTCCTTGCTTTCATGCAGGCTAAGTAGGGCAAAGTCCCCAGGAATCTCAGTCCAGCCTCTGGTTGTGCCCTGGATTCATTGCAGCTGCAAACAATAGACACAGAGATGTCTGCGGCCAGCTCTCGAACAACCTGAATCTGCCGCTCTGTTCCCACGGTTGATTGCAAGTGTAAAATTGTAAGTGCAATATTAGAGGGGAAGGGTTAGCACAGGCCAGTCGCTCCGAGCAGTTGCTACTGCCCTGACCCAGTAAAAGATGTCCAATTTTAGCACTCCGTGCCCAGGGGCACCATTCACAGGACTAGCAGACATGGTACCCAGAACTATCAGCTGCATGTTATAAGGTTGACTACCCTGACCCTTTGCTACACACGAGTTGCACTAGAGATGGCAGCTCCAGTGCAGGTGCCCAATCTCAGCACAAGCAGAGGCTGCAGTGGGGAAAGACCCCTCAACAGGGTCCTCTTGCCACTGGAAGACTGGGCATCGAGGAGGCCCATCCCAGCTGATCCATGCTCCTGACATGGTCTCCACCTCCCCCCCATTCTCTTTAAGATGCAGAAGGGACACTGGATGCAGCACTGCACATCAGCTTCATGTCCCTACACATCAGGAAAGATTAAGACCTTCAAAACTCAATGGGCACAAGCAGGAGGAAGTCTCCAAAGCAACATGCTAGCTGACTTTCCTGAAGGAGACAGGAGCTCAGAGGAGCTGGGACTGCAAAAAGATGAATAAGCAACTGCAAAAAAAACAGGCACGGAGCAGAACGAGGACGAGAAGGGGCTGCCGAGATGAGCCTCATCTTGGATGGCCCGGCTGCAGAGTGCACGGTGAACACGCCCCACGGTTTTTGCTTACCCCTTCCATACGACGACTGAGGGATGATGGTGCTCCCCACTCTCAGCCCTTCAGATGGCATCAGCAGGCCACAGAGGACAAGACCTAAAACCCTGAACATCTTCAGTCCCAATAACCTGCCAAAAACATTCTCAGTCAGTGCCATGCCACAGGGAAGGGAACAAGGCATCAGTAGAGACAGGCCCCTTCTTACACTGACAAATTCATGCTCCACCCATCCAGTTATCACCATGAACCCAGCACAGCGCATTCCCATTCCTCTCTCCTACTTTGCTTTCTGCATGTCCTTTCACAGCAGCTGATGAAACGAGCTTCAGCTCCCCAAAGTTTCTGCTATCTATAACCTACTTCGGTTAGTCCAAAAGGTGCAAATCTACCCTACTTTCTAACTGAACCCCTACCACAGGCTTACATAATTACAGCAGCTTGGCTTGCTTTGGTACCTACAGAGGACCCTAGAGTCACCACACCTACTGGCATCTCCATCTGTAAATGCTACCATCCTAACCTGCTAAACACCCTGCATTTCCCAACCACAGACATGGGCATGGAGGAAAGGCATCAGAAGGTGGGCTAGAGACAGGCCTGAGTAACACAGCTGGGAGCAAAACAGGCAAGGTGAGACATCTGATCATTAAAAATTTGGGCAAAACAAGAACTTCTGGGCCTGACTCTGCTGCCTTGCTCCACAGGGAAGCGGTAATGCCCAGGCAGATCGGGTGCAAACTCCAACCGCTCAGACTGAAGAGCGCACTCTCTGCTCCCAGAGGAAAGGTGGCAGGGGCAGGAGGAGAGCGTGCCGCACGCTGGATCCCGGGTCCTACTCAGACGCGCAATCACTCCAGAGCAGTTTCTCTTCCTGTAGCCCAAACACACCAGGTTATTTTTCAGTTCCTATCCAAGGCCCCACACCCACCTCCGGACACGAACATGCACTGTCTTGTACGCAGACCAGCAACCACGGAGGCATTTGAACTGAAAGATGAACCTCCCCACGTGTCCACGCTGAACTGAGCAGCCTCCACCAAGCATTTTGTTAGACACCACGTGCGTTACCCAGAATAATCCACTCTACATCATCCTGAAAGTGCCTCATTTGGAGGCATTATTCAGAACCACCTGAGAAAAGCTCTTTCTGTTCATCCATAACCATAAACCGATCCAAGCCTGGAGTCCATATTCAGGAAGAAACCCTCATTTTGGTGGAATAATAACTATAAACTAGAGCTCTGACAGCAGCTATTTACATAATAACCATCCAAAGCGCAGCACTCTGGGCACGCAGTCGACAAAACTCTTCTGTGCAGGTGTTTCATTCATGTACTCTTACAACTTGTTATTTCCCGTGTCCTTTATGCCCAAAGAATCAAAAGGACCTTTCTTGGTACAAAGCGCTCACAAGCAAAAATAACAAAACAGGCTAGGAAAAAAAATACAGGGAAACTGCTCTAATGCTCTCCCATACGGCTAGAAAAATGCAGCCACAACTGAGACATCAAGTGGCCAGAGCCAGGCACTCAAGCGGGCTCCACGAGGGGGCATGAAAGGCCAGACGTGCACCTCGAAAATCTTACTGAAAGCAAAACACAAGGCAGGAAAATGTCTTCACCCCCCCTGCCCTGCCACAGCCAGCATCACCTTCCTCATTGCATTTCGGTCCCCCGTTACAACAGCACAGCCCTGCCTCAGTCCAAAATCGGGCTGGAGCAGCCCACCACATGCTGCCCCCCAAAGAAACAAGCACGCGCTATTTGTTACCAACAGCAGCCTGAGAGCAGGCGAGTCAGCCCCAAAGCTGCCTCCTTTCTGCTGGCAAGCAGGCACCCAACAGCCAGCAGCAAGCCCATTTAAATAGATGCAGTCGTACACCAGACCCACAAATCAGTGACCAAACTGATGATAATTCCTTAATGCTCAGTCTCAGCAGGTCATACTAACCTCCCAAATCAAACAGTCACCCTGGGGATGCCAGCAGACAGAGGCGCCATTCGGAGCAGGGCACTGCCATTGTTCAGACTTGGTCCCTGTTACAAACCCTTTTGCAGGGGAGGCTCACCGGACCTGCTACTCTGCTCATATACTCTATTTTTAGCAAATCTGCCTCACTTTGGAGGGGGGGAAAAAGTGACTTTACTCCTGCAATGTCCTGGTCTATAGGCCCTACTTTCTGTGCAAGTTTGCTTGCAATGGAAAAGAAGCTGCACCCTACAAGCAGAGTCAGCACCTCTATGATACTCTTCCCACCTGCCCACAGGGTTAAAAAGAAAGGGTCGATCAACTATTTGTTTCAAAGGACACCGTTTTCTAATTAGAGTTCCTGCTCCCTTTACCCGAGTTCAAACTCCTCTGCTGCGCCCTCCCTGCACCGTGCAGCTGCACCGGTGACAAAAGAACCTGCCATTTCAGTGCTGATGAAGACGACGACGACAACACAGAGGAGCCAAAAAAGAAACAGCAGGGACAGCATTCATCATGTTGGTCAGCTTGAGCAAGAATCTGGATGGCTTAAATATCCTTCACGCCAAAAGGCAGGTGACTCAGTAGCACTCAAGTTCTGAGCTTTTGCCCACTGAAATAAATACACCGTGTTAATGAGCATCATGGCCATTAGCAAATAAAAAAGGCCCCAGTAGAAATCAAAGGGCATATCTACATGTGCAATGAATGCGCTTTAGGTAATGCACACTAAATCTAGACTCTCTATTGTGGGGTACTAGAAAAACGTTCATTAGCCTATATTAATGCCCATTCGCTAAAGAGCACATTTTTCTGTACTGCTTTAATGCACATTAAAATAGGCTAATGTGCATTAAAGTGCACGTGTAAACACACTCAATGGGACTATTTATGGACTGTTTAGGTATTTAGGTACTGCTCAGTACAAGGGTGGACAAACTGGCCCTTGGCCAATAGCAAAACTCCTACTGCCCACTGCAAAAGCAGGACTGGTCCCTCCAAGGCATTTAATGGGGTTTGAACCACAGGACTTCTCTGTAAGGACACTGTACCCCTCGCCATGCTCTCAGCACTCGCATGGCTCCATGTCCCCAGTGAAGTCCCCTGAAAGCCCATGTCAAACCCAGCAGCAAGTGTCAGGATATAGGCGATACGCCCCATGCACCCAAGATGCAAAGTTACTGGGAGCCATGATGTTATCAGCAGCCATTGTCTGAGCTCCGTTCAGCTCCACAGTTCAACGCACTCTGTGAACAATGGGACAGTTCAAGACAGACACCGATGACAGCTAATGATACCTTGCCCACCTCTATGCAGAAGGAGAGAGACTCGTGCACAGCTCTAAACACGCATCTTTAAGGAGCCCCGGAGTCAAGTTGCAGCAAGAAAAGTTGAGGTTGGATAGTAAGACGAATTGTCTCATCAGCAGGGTAGTCACGCACTGGGACAGGTTTCCCAGAGAGGTGGTGGAGTCTCCATCCTTGCAGGTTTTGAAGACCCAGGTAGACAAAGCCTTGTCTGGGATGATGTAGTTGGGGCTGGTTCTGCTTGGAGCCGAGGGTTGGACTAGATGGGACCTCCTGAGCTCCCTTCACACCCCCATTTTCTATGATCTGCTGTTGTATGGTGATATCACATGCCCTGGAGATGATCTCAGGAAGAGGTAAAAACATAAATCTTTACCTTATAGATGGGTATAGATGAAATCTCCACATTATTCGGCATTTCCTTCCTTTCTCCATCTTAGTCTTTAACATAGAGCAGCTAGAACAAACACTTCCATCGTTAACACACATTCAGCCCAGTCCTCAGAAAGCAGGTATCAGCATTGTCCCGTTGACCTCAGCAGAGCTGTATTTTATACTAGCTGTTGAAGGGGAGAGCTATAATGTTTGTACAGATGAGCAGTTGCTATTTGTCTCGATGGGCGCAGAGCAAAAGTGAAAAGCAAATGGAAGAAAAACAGATACAGACAGACCTCGGGGGCCATTTGCTCACCTTTTGTTCCACACTTACTTAGAAAACAAAACCGAGCACTCACGTCTTTAAGCAGAAGCTGGCCCAGACTTGGCTCTCTTCTGAGAGCCTGCCTCAGTTCAATTTAAACTGATCCAAGAAAAGACTGAGTTATATCCATGCAACCTGCTCTCTCTGGTATAAAACCAGCTATACTGGGTGGTTCTGCAAACCAGGTTAAAACCGAATTAAGACTATCCACAGACTCTCACTGTTCCAGCCACATCCATTTAAAACCATGGCTTTTGTATAATTAGTGCAACTGCAATGCAGTACTAGTGACCAGACACAAGATGCTAGGAGAGTCTCCGCTCAAGGGGCAGACAGTTTCTGACCTTTGCACAGAGGAGAGGATATAAAGTCATTGCAAGATGAGGGTGCTCAGAAAGAAGTGTGTGTGGTTAATGAAAAGAGCATGGAACCAGCAGATCTGTTATCCAAGCCTGGCCCGAACGCTGGGCCACTCGGTTAATGCCCCAAAACTCATGGCAGTGCAAAGTGCTATTTGGAAAATTCAGTGCACTGAAACTTTATTGGCACAGCAGGCAATAGAAGAGTATGGCCAATGCACAAGAAAGGGGTGGGGGGCGTGGGGGTATCC